TTCTTAACTTCACATATTGCATCAAAGATACTAACCTTCACGTTATTCTTCGCAATTATGATCCCATAACCCAAATGTATATTTTTTGTCCCATCACGAAGACCTTCAACGCAGAAGAATCCAGACCCTTCCTTATCCCAAATGAATTTATCCAACCTATAGAAATCCCGATGTTAGAATTCATTCACAACACTAAATACAATCACAAATTATATAATCTCATCCAAAACACACCTTATGAGTTTGCAGTTGGCACTGAAGAACTAAAAACTATTAAACCACTTCAATTGCTTTGGCCACTGCTTCAAACTAAAAACACCATTCGCATACTAGCAAAATTACTAACAAATTCCGACATAATACACGACATCTTCCCCCACGGTTTTTTCCCCGACGACTAACAGGTAAGTATAATTTATTATATTCTTCACTAATAAATTTGAAATAAATACTAACCATTCTTATCCATGTCTTATTTAGATTTTTAGTCTTCATCCCACGATCACCTACAAATTACACAAAAGAAAAATAAAAAATAGAAAACTTCTTCAAATTCTTCAAAACTTTATTAATATTTTGCACTAGATAAATTCAAAAAAAATCATACAAATGTAGTAAATTAATTTATAAATTATTTCCCTAAAAGCAGTAATTCTAATAATGATGAAAATTTGTAACTTAATTTTTCCCCAAAAAACTAGCAGTAAAATTGAAATTCTATGTAGTAAATTGATAAAACGAAAATGCAGTACTAACCTTTTGATATTTTCATTCACTCGCACAAGAATTCTATCCAAACTCGCACAGCTCGCCCACGAAGAATTGTTTAAATAATGAATTTCAGTTTTAAGTTTTCACACTTAACAACTCTAACACACGATAACAAGTTTCAAACTTTCCTTTAACCCGGTTGGAAAGGAATTATATACTAAACAAAACTAACCAACGCAGCTTACTAGACACCACAACACATAGAATAATAGCATGACTAAGAAAAGGAAACCAACGGTACCCAAACCGGATTAACCCAGTTTAAAACTGGATAATTTATTCTTTTGAAGACTATTATAAAGTCTAAGAAAGAAATAATAAAACACAAAAAAGTCGAAAGACAAACCCATACCAAAAACAATTTGATTTTTGAAAAAAGGACACAACCAACGAAACATAAGAAAAACCACAATAAACCCGACATAAAACTTTATCACATAACAGGACCTCTCACAGAAACCGCACGAAATCATACTCCCACTCCTGGCCTAACCCACCAGAGAGGACGTCCTGAGCATGCTCTATAGCCGGCCTAACCCACCGCGCTACATTCACGCTTTGTGACCACACTTCTATTTTTAATAAGAGGTACTCAAGGGTGAGTAACTCTTCAAAATAACCGAAATAAAACGAAAAGCTTTTGTGAAAACAACTAACCAAAATCATAATTAAAACACCGAACTAATAAAAATTTTATAAAATGTAAATTATACCTTGCAGTATATAGATCAGCATACAACACCAAAGACGAACATCCAAAGACAAAAGGACCCCACTACACTCGAAAAAGAATGGCCAACCATAATCAAAATGCCGTCCACAATCACAACTCAAAGGATTTAGAGTACGACTTGACTTCGCAGAAAAGGACTTCATTGAACTAGACCAATGACCACCTCGATGTTCAAGTATACGTACAGATCCGAGTAACCAGGCATCCCCTCCACGCACAATCTCCACGCCATTCCCAGACTAGGTTGAACACAAAAGAAGTTCTCTACATGAAACAGAAAAACCTGTCATAGCAAACCATTCTGAAATCAGATTTGAGTTTGTTGAGAAAACCCCGTCGTTGTCATAAGAAGACACAACGATTGATCCTGGAACTTCTCTAGCAGGAAAACCCAGAAGAAATATGATGTTCGCCAAATACCAACGTCCATCATCCATCCTTTGAATTGCAGAAAAACTATTTTAAAAACTTCTGTAAAACCCGGATGGGTGGAACCTGATCTAAACTACATTTTATAATTGGATAAATTAGATATTTTACCACTGTAAAGTATTTAATATTAACCAATCATGATCCATCTAACTAACAACCCACTTACTTGTAAGTGCTGAAATTACTTGTAATTTCAGCACCAGAGAGATTTGAATTTAACTTAGAAATTAGTTGCCTCTCCAAGAGAACTTCAGCAGCCGCAATAAACCAGTATACCCTAGATCTATTGAGCCTAGCAGAGACTAGTTAAACAACCTGAGACTAGAATAGTATAAGAGTAAGATTAGGATCGGTATTAGACTAAGAAGTTGCACGAATCTATCCGGCCGAAAATAAGATAGCGTGACGAGCAGACGGTGTACCCTATCCGAAATTACTCTATGAGTTAAGACCATCGGTTATAACTCAAAACGGTAAGAAAAACTCAAATCTCTCAAATAATTAGATCAAACAATTTGATAATAGAAGATTTGATACGCTAAATTTTTGGTGATAGATCTGTGAGAAATTCAAAAAAATAAATTAAAAGAAAAGTCTTTAATGCATATTATCTGTTAAATTTTTTTTTTCAATTAATTTTGGGGTCTTTTTTCAGATAATTTTTTTATATTGTTTTTTATTTGAGAAAATAAAAAATGATTAAACTATATTTAAAAAAATACTAACTTCGATTTTCGAAAAAGTGCTAATCACTCAATTTCATAGCAGTTTTGTCATACTGGGCGCGCGCGAATCGAAAATTTAATTAATTAGAAAAAATAGTTCTTGTATAGTTTTGTCCTCATACGGCGCACAAGAAAAGACACTAATTTGAAAAAAATTCTGAGAATGTGGTCGGAACATTCTGTTCAACTTGCACAACAACCGGCAGTCCTTGTTTTAGTCTATTATTACCCAAATGCCAAATCAAATCTCTATTTTCGAGCGAGTAAAGAGGTCGAGTAACGTTTGTTATATGAAAACTGGGTATTTACGGTAAAAACCTAATTTGAATATGAAAAAAAAACTAATTTTAAGAGATTCATTTTGCGCATTCTTGGTGAAAAAATTTTTCAGAAAGATTAAGAAAATATTAAGCAAACAAATTAGAAATAATTTAGAACATTTTTTGAATTTTTTTTATATTTTTTGCTTGTTTATTTTTATGGAATACAAGTGATGTCGATTAAACTTAATTCACTAATTCTCATTATGTCTTAGTGAGTTTAATGTCTTAGTGTCATAATGTTTGGGTATTTATGAAAAATTTCGTCTTGATTTCGAAGATCAACAAGCGGCAGATGCTGGCTAAATTTTTTCCCAAGTTTCGGGAGATTTGATTAATCGGATTCAGAACCCGATTTCACTTAAATCTTTTAGTCTTTATAAATACACTTTTACGTTTTTCATTTATGAATTATTATTGAGAACAAATTACTGACAAAAAAAATCAACTTTCAGAGCATGTGCTGCAGTACTAGACCCATTAGTCCCATTACTAGTCACACTTTTCTCAAAGAAGTTGAAGTAATTTTTCCGCATCATTAACTGTCGCCGCCTGAGTTGTTTTTCAAATAACACTTTATTCAGGGATGTTTCATACGTGACAGAAACGGTTCCTTGTTTATGACATTTGAGACCTAATCAAACCAGAGAATGGCATGTTATTTTTTCCTGCACCAGTTTAGACTGAAAAGTCAACGAGGATAGCCGGTCGCTATCCAAGTAGCACAGAATGTTCCGACCATAGAAGTATAAAATTCAATTCTAAAAGCTGAAATGGAAAAGAATAGGTTAAAAAACTTAAAATTCAAAATTAAAAAAAGCATCAAAATTATTACAAATTGAGGTTGTAAGGGGAGGGGGAAGAGGAGGGAGTTTTTCAAAATTTTGCAAGCGGGGTAGATAAATTCGTGAGAATAGGGCTTTTTAGTGCTTGGGAAGATTTTAAAAAATCAAATCGATCCTAAAAACAGGCCGACAAATTTTTCGAAAAATTTTAGGCTTCTGCTGGCGTCGGTCTGTGGAAAATTGAATAATTTTGACTGAAAAAGTCGTTTGGTGTCAGTAAAAAAAACAAACCTCTTCGTAAGACCATTAGGGAATTGTAAACTGTAGATTGAGAGCTAATCATTTTCCATTTCCACAAATTATCACCTCAAAAAAATTCTTCCTTTTCAGGTGATTAAAGTGACCCATTGAGATAACCTTTGCATCATTAGTGAATTGCCGCTTCATTTCTTCTTCAATATTGCCAAATTTGACCTTTTTTATTCTAATTTAATCACCTTGATTTGAAAGCCAGGGGATTAGAGTTACATAAAAGAATCGTTGAAACAAAAAAGATGAATAATTGCATGAAAATTGCGACTACCGCTGTTTTAGAGCGGCAATGAGTCCAAAGATTCACGAAATGAAACAAAAGTAAATTATATGGTAAGCATATGCATCTGTCATTTCTGGGATTTGGTTAAACAAATAGGTTAATATTTGTATTGAAAAAGACCGATTATGACCCTTTATGATATAAAATTAGGAAAATCGCGCAGCGCGAGCAGCATGGATTTAAAAAATATCAGAACTTAAAAGCTTTGGTTATTGAGTTATCTTTTCTTTGTGTAAAATGTGATAAAATTGAATTAAACAATTTTATTTAAACAGTGCGATGGCCTCCGCAATCAAAAGCTAAAATTCGATAAAGATGATAAATGAGATCTTTTATTCCTAAAAGAATGACTTGAAGAACAAACTGAATATAATATCATTTGACTGATTACGTCTCGATCTCGTAATATGAAACAGCTAATTGCAAAATTCTTACCGTCGACGAATTTTTTTGCAGCCTAGAAGACCCAACTAGCATCCACCTCCTCTTCCTTTAAAGGCTTTAAATGGCGCAAGTTAACTGGACTCGAATTTCCGTAGGAGTACGCTAAGGGTCAAAGGTAAGCTTCATGTTTGAACGGGCTAAATGGGGAATTACAAAAAGTGAAATAATAGTTAATACATACGTATCGACACTTACACTCCTTGAGAACAGAGAAGAAAGGTGCCATGTTGGATAGAGGGAGGAGGACTAGGATGGCAGCCACTCTTGAGGAGTCCCGGAACCGACTGATCACATCCAGAGCATTCACCTGATCTGGATCGTAGTGCAACATCCACTCCACTGATACTTTGGGGTCTCGGGTTAGAGTCCTGCATTGAACAGAAATTATGACAGTCTTCTTCTAACCAGTTCCAAGAACGTTACGCTTGGTTTAGTAGATTTTGGGAACCACTAGTTTACTTGGGGGCTAGAGTTTTCTGGTAATAACGTGTCCATAAAAGGAGAATTAATCAAACGGCAGATTCTTTTTTTCTTGAGATAGAGCTTTATTGTTCTAGGGGGTGCCAATCAAACCTATGAATTACTGACAAAAAATACAAATATGGCCTAAAGACGCGTTATGATAGTTTGATGAGTCGGCGATATTGAAACTTTTTAGCAAAATTTTTTGGTGTTCTCAAATAAAAGGTGTTGAATTGCAAGAAAAATCCTTAAGTTGTACTGCCATCTCCAAATGAAAGGACGTTAATTGGACCTAACCGTCACCTTCCTCGGAGGAGATTGTATATAAAACGAGTCAAAGTCGAAGAGGGGGATGTTTTCTAATGTTGATGAGAATGAGAAGTATTCTACTGACTTGTTGAGTGTGAGAGAGTAGTAGTTGGATGAGAGGTAGAGACTGTTGGCCACTATGCCCACCTGACTCAGAGCATATCTCCTCAGGAAGGTCTGAATGAGGGAGGCACTGGTGGCACGGGAGGGGAACACCGACAGGTAGTACGAGGACAGCATCTACCAAACAAACACAATGCTCTTTAATTCAGGGCTTTACAGATGAGGTTGGAAATTCACTCAGAGTTTTCTTACATGTGTAAGTTGAAACTTTGTAAAAGAACACCAGCGGATTTAGGGGGGGGGCGGACACCTTCTCCCCTCAGAGATTCGGCTCCCGCCGACCCAAAGTCCCCTATTTATACTAACTTGAGATATCCAGTTTTGGCTGACGGATCCTATAACTTTTCTAAAGGCGCCTTTGACGCCAATATTTACTAATTTTGAAGGTGCAGCGCGCGCCGAAAAAACGCAACTTCAATTTTTTGGTCAAAAATTTCCAAAAAACGCTTAAAAACGCTTTTTTGGCCAGTTTTTTTTTTTAAACTTTGACTGCGGCTTACAAAATTTGGCCAGAGCAAGTTTTTTTAGTGCTTTGGGAGAACTTAGAAAATCAATTTAGGCAAACTAAAAGAAGGTCGACAAAAGTTCCGCCCCCGCCTTCGAGAAAAACCTAGATCCGCCCCTGTGAAAGACAAATGTATAAAGTAAACGCCAGCAAGAATGGCCAAAAAAAAGAATAGCACAGAAATGAAATGAGAACAGTTTATTTTGTAAATTCGAATTGTTTTTTTTGGGCGGGATGAAAGGAAAAATAAATAACACAATCAAAATCAAAAAGTTTTTTGTTTTTTTTTTCCTTAAGAAAAAAAAACTTTTTGTTGCATTGACGAGGAAGTGCTGTAAGAAATTTGGAAACTAATTTTCATACAGTAAAAGTGAAAATCTCTGCTTGAAAAAAAGCTTATTTTTCCATTTTAAGGCATAGTCGAAATTAAATTAAAAACCAAGAATTTCCATCCGGTATTTTTTCGACAAAATAAATTTATTTTGAAATTCTTTGAATGATGACATAAAGGGTTTTTCAGTAATATTTCATTCAATTTAATCAAATGATCATGTGTGGCACCTGATTTTGCCGGAAAACCTGACAAAAATATTTAAAAATGAACCCAAAGTCACAGCTCCTCCCGACTTTTAGTTGTCGGAACAATGACACACCGACAGAAAGTATAAAAACAATAAATTGAAATTTGAGTTTTTAAGTGTGAAAAAGATACAAATACATACCGCACGAGGCCTAAGTTGAATCCTGGAGAATCAAAAACAGCTAAGCTTATCTATTCAAATATCGACAAGAAGTTATTGAAGTAAATCAGAATTATCCACCAAGAAACAGCTCAAAAGAATAAAACTAAAAATTTCCGTATTAAATAATATGTTTATAGTACCAGGTAATAGTTTGTTTGAGAGAGCAGAATTGTATTTTGTGATTTTTCCCCTCCAACGGAGTTGTCTGTGCAGCGAGTTTGTTCAAACTAATTTTAAACTACATTTGAACTTTTAATTTGATTCAAACCATTTTTTAGTTTTTTTGAACAAAGCAGCATAACATTAGCTAATTACAGGATCAGAGAACTCGACCATTCTTATTGTTTAAGCTATCGTCGCCTCTAGATGTTTTGTTTTTTATATATTAAAATAAACTTTTATGATTTCATCCTGATATGTATGGAAGAGAAAAACTCATAAACTCTAACGGTGCTTCAAAATGAACGTTATTGCAGTGATTAAAAACACCAACTGTGAAAAAATACCAATTGTATTTCACCATTTTTGTATCTGCAAAGTTTGAAATATTCAAAAAAAATTAATTAGTTAAAAGCAAAGTTCATTCATAGAGGTGAAAAAGGGAAAAATGCGAAGTTTTCTATTCTAGTTTTTCAACGGTGAAAAAAGATACTTATTTTTCAGACTTTTGTTTCAATATTCAAGTAGTCTAGCTAACATTAATCACATGTAGTCTGGCTATTATTAATCACAAATTGAGTTTGCTTGTTATCAGGACTCTTGACATTTTGACTTTTTTGCCTCACTGTGAGAGTATGTGTACTTCTCCCGTGAACAAATGATCATATTGTTTTACAAATTGGCATAAATTGACTTTTTTTTATCCTCGATGTTACCACTGAAATAAGTGGAGACTAAACCAGTTGTTGACGGTAAACAGCCACTCAAACCCTAAAATAGATTCTAAAAACAGCCAAGATCTAAACGAACTGAATTCAATCTAAAAACGGCATAAATCGCAGAGTTAGTCGATAGAACGTGTTAACCTTAGCAAAATTTTTTGATACAAGGTAAATCACAGACAGACTGAAGACAATAACCTGCCAGAAAAGGTCAGACAAGGTCATTTTTTATGTTTTATAATCAATTATAGTTATATATACATTTTGTTTCGGGGTAAACACATTGTTTTTTTTTTGGTGGGGAGGGGGTATGAGGGGCTTAAATCTTCGCTAAACCAATCTGCTCATTATTGTTCCGACTTTCGATACGAAAGTAACGGAATATTTGTGCTCGGGGTGGGTTTTTTTTTCTTCAGACAAATTTCGACTTTTTAACTAGCCATTTTTGACGGAATTTTTTTATATCATTCGAAAGCTATTGTTGTCCTGTGCTCAAATTTGAAAAGATATTTCACCTGTGATCATTTTTCGTAAAGTTATGGGGGTTTAAAGATTGCCATTTCGGCCAATTTGGGACAATTAACGCGCGATATATTTCGCACTATTAACGCGTAAGCGGAGATTTAATCCGCCTTAGAAATCGTTCCAAATTGGTTCAAGAAAGCTTATATGCCATAACTGATATAATAATAGGAGCGAAATCCATCTTTTTGTACTTTATATGGCGTGTGGGGGGATGATTTTCATTTAAAAAAATTTCAAATTTTAGAAAAAAAAATTTCATTTTATTTTTTTATATTTAATTTTTTTTGTTATTACTGCTCATGAAATCTCAAAAGGCAGTCGGAACATTCAGGGCTCCGCCCTGATACGAGCAGTCTTGTTTAGACTTTGTTCTGGATCACTCGGCCAATCGATCTTAACTTCCTTCAATTTAGTCGCTTTTATACTCACGCTTGTTTGCGTGGCAACATGGACTATATTTTGGTGTAGGGATAATTTTAGGTTACAAGCTTTCGCATCATAAAAACTAGGAGCTGCGTACCAGACAAATTTTGATTTTTATTGAAAGTAGGCAGAATGAGATGAGTAAAATATGATTAAATTTTTGTCAGTCTTTATTTGAAATTGAAACTTCCACCATGTATAACACTAATTTTTAATTTGAAATCATTTTATAAAGTTTTTGCGAAATGAAGTTATTTTTTCTTAGATTATGTTAAAAAACTCGCACTGCTATGAGTTTCTCAACTACGGGCCAATTTTTTGTTTTTGCTTAAGAAAAAGCAGTATATTAGATCTGAAAAAATCTTGTTCTCATCTCTTTTACTTTGCTTTTAGCTCAAAACGAGAATCAAGCAAAAAACATTTAGTTTCATTATTTTGTCCAGTTAATTCGAAGCAGCGCTGTACGTTACCCATTGTGTTGGGAAATTTTTAAAAGAAAATTGGAGCAGAAATCGGTTTTTTAATTGAAAATGTTAGTTGAAAATTTTTTTGATGCTTAAAAACATTAAAAGAATTTAGGGTTTCGACTTTTATTTGGGTTAACGCGTTTAACGCCATTGCAACAAAATGCAACAAATAAAGCTAATTCAAACTGAATTTGTCACGTTTCGCCCTGCACACATTTCGCCCCTCTCAAATTTAGGGGTACATTTTACCCGGGGGTTTAGAAATTAGACGATAAGCAAATTAGACGGAGGTACTTAAAAAGAATATAGACGATTTTGCAAAACTGCAATTGTGAGAAAAAATAGACAAAAGTGAGAGATTAAAATTGTTTGCAGACAAATTGCGCGAGAAAAAAATAATTGTTTGTAGACAACAGTTAATTTCGGTAGCCAAAAATTTTACATTTCAATCGTGCATAATTTATTCAATTCAAAACTCTCTTGTAATATTCGAATTTGACATCTTTTGTTCATCTAAATTAATTGTTTTGATATGTATTGACATTTTATGTTCTTTTTGAGTTTGTGAAACTTGACTCCTAAGAAAACATTTTGTTGGGCCTTTCCTTTTCAAAGCTTTTTTGTCTAAAATGCCAGATCTGTAAAAATCAAATTCCGTCTTATTTCATTTTTGTAGCATCCGTCTAATTTGTTTATCGTCTAATTTCCTAGGCCCCTCATAATTTCGCTCATTTCGTCCTCACCCGCTTCGCCCTTAATTTCTCAGACAGTTAATTAATAACCGCTTTCTTAGTTGACAAATTGAAGGGCAAAAGTGTGGGGAAGATATCTGTGTGGGGCAAAAAGTGCTAATAATTTTGTGAGGGGAGAAATGTGTGAAAGCTATTCAAATTTATAAGTGAAGTTAACCTTAGCAAAAATTTGCGAAGTAAAATGAACGAAGCAAACTGAAAACAAAAAACCCGGTTGCTGTTAAAAAAGAACAGAAGGTTTAGACCATGAAGAATTGTTGATTCTACTGTATTACATGCTATAGTAACCTGAGCGTAAGATTGATTCGTCATTAAGTTAAGTAGTACAGCAAACAAAGGGAAAAGTTCAAAATAGTTCATTCTTCAAGATATCGTCCCTCCTATGCCAGAAAACAAAATTTGACAAAATCGGCGAACCCCCCCCCCCAATCGGAATTAAGAAAGCTAATTTTATGAAATTCAGAGGAGCGATACTAGAGATGATTTGACGCGGGCATTTAAAAAACGGGACTTCTCAGACCCTTGGGGGCAAGTGATAACGTTCCCCGGAAGTGTAAATGGCTATATCAGAACTCAAAAACTATTGGCGGTGTTGGGCTCAAATTGAGGTATGTTGTAGGCCTAGTTAAGGAAAGCTTAAGTTTGGAAACCCAGACCCCTCAGACCTCCACTTCCGGTTTTATGCCCTAAGTAAACAAACCCACCCCTATCTTCTGGAAGTCGTTTCTCGGCTTCCAATGATCGCAAGGAGCTGAAACGTGGACGGATGATAGGTAGTGGCAAGATACATCTTGTATTACAATTTGAACCAAAACCGGCGA